CCAACGCAAGCAGAAGTTCGGTCTTGCATTCAATCTCTGAAGCGAGGTGTGGCAGCAGGACCTGATGAGCTATCTCCCACTCTCTTCAAGATGGGAGGTGATTACCTCGTAACCCCCAATACGACTCTACTGCACAAAATTTGGATGCAAGAGCACATTCCTTTAACTTGGGGCGAATCATTAATCTTTCCCATGTTCAATAAGTGATCCCGAAACGACTGCGAAAACCACCGCGGGATCAGTTTGATTCCGATAGTCACCAAAGTGAGATTCGGTTATACTTCGGCGTCTGACGCCTTTAGGAGAGACTAACATCCGTAAACAGCAAGCCGAATTCCGGCTTGGCCGTGGATGTATTGATCAGATTTACACGTTGCGTCAGATCGTTGATCTGCGTCAAACCCACCGTCGGCCAACGATAGCAGTGTTCCTTGACCTGAAAGGAGCCTTCGACTCAATTGACTGCGAAGCTCTGATGGGCTCCCTTCTTCGAAAAGGAATGCCCCAGAAGTACGATAACCTACTGAGGTTACTGTACTCACATACCTCCGGTCGTGTATGGGGTTTACAACAATCTAAGTATGCCGTGCGTCATCAGCAGCGGCGTTCGTCAAGGATGCCCTCTTTCGCCGTTCCTGTTCAATTTCGTCGTAGACGACATACTGGAGGACGCACTAAGTGGACTCCAAAACGTAGGAATTGAATGGACAGCTGAAGAAAAAACTGTGCGACTTAGAGTACGCCGATGACATCGTCTATCTGTTTGAATGTTTGAAGGAAGCAAAAGCGCACTTGATAGACTAACAAGTTCGGTTGCCACATTCGGTATGTACATCGCACCTTCAAAGTGCAAAGTGATTCTGCAAGACTGGCTAAACATTGCACCTGTCCGACACGGGCTTAAACAGACAAGATTATGATCATAACAGTTATCTTTTCAGGTATTCAGGAAAACAGTAATTTATAAGGAGTCTTACCAGTTGAAACAAAACCAGATTTTATTTAAATTTCTGACCTTGAGAGAAAAATTAGTTTTCAATAAATGAGGAATGAGATCATAGCGTAAATACTTACCGCGCATAGGCAGTTTCCTTCAGCACTTTGACCGCTTGTGCCAGTTGAGAATGGGTTCGAGAGGCGAAAATGACTTTGGGCTTATTGGGTCTAAGTTGTGCAATCCTGACTTCGGAAAAGGGATCCACTGGACAACAATGATTAGTACATTTATGAATTACTTTCGCATGGCTTTTCTTCCCGCAAAGAAATATCCAAATTATTCGAACTAATCCAGGCCAGTGAAGTACAAAGTAGACATAGCGTCTTTCCTGTGCCAGTGGGCGATTCCAAGATGGCATTTTGACCCTGTATAACGTTATTTTGTTTAATTAACAGTTACGTTGTTCAGAGCCAGAAGAAGCCTTCTCATGTATTCCACTTGACAAGTGTAGGGTTCATGTGGAAATTCGACTGACAACCCATCTATGTTAACAGTCGGCATGTTCAATCAAAAACTCCTGAAATATTGAATAAAATATTTTCCGAGAACTACCAAATACTAAATGTAGAGACTAATTTTAAAGTTCATCATTGTATTTCAGATTCAGTTTCCACAAACAATGACAGTGAATTTCAGTTCAGTTTGCACCGAACAGAAAATGGCCAGAGCCAATCGACCGTCCAGAATTCCTTCAGTGGCAAGCAGTCAAGTATGGTACCCAACACTGCGAAAATCAGTCCGTAACTTCCTAGTTGAAAAGAGGAAGAAAAGGGAAAGATATCTTATCTCACCTCCGAGGCGAGAGATTGTTGCTCCTGGTTGCTATTTGTTCGGTTGCCCGTTTCGTGAATCAAAGCCGAAACGAGTGAAAAGTAAAAATTCGAGATAAGCGTCAAGTTAAACATAAATAATGTAGATAAACTAGGTGTGTAGAAAGTGAGTGGATGCGTCTACTCGTGCTACTATACAAGACAACAATATCACTCAATCACCCTAATTAACGATTGGCCTAATCAAGAAAATTACAATGCGATTCATCAGCTAATACGGGGTCACAGAAAGATCATTCCTGGTCAGATCAGATCAGATTCCAGGACTTGCGGCTTGAACCAACGGGAGTCCCGTTTCTTGCTCCAATGGGCGTGAATGTCGCTCGTGTTTCAGCTGTCCGGCATTCCAGCGCTTAAGTTCATCAAGGACGTTTTGCCAGTTCACGGATTGCAAGGTAAATTATCGGGATCCCTTCTGGAATACGCAGTCGACTTACGATTAGAACGGATTTGCCTACATCTAGCACTGTTATGCACTGCTACACAAGCACCTTATATTGACAGACAACAGAGTAAAAAAAAAAGACGAAAGGAAGTGGAAGGATAAGGATGAAGTTGTGTTACGATAATAAAGGAAAGTAAGGAAGCCTCTAGGAAGAAGAGGGGTACGTAAGAGAAGGTTGAAGAAAGATGAGGTCTCAGAAATCAGGTAAGGTCGGGGAACAGGGCAGCCCAGCTCGCCCAGCCTGGCCTGCACACAGTCTGGGCTGAGACTATCTTCGCTGGCAGTTTGTTCCATGCGTTTACCACCTTATGGGAGAAGTTCGCCGTTATGTTCTTCAAAGCTCTGGGTTTGCTCAATTTCAACCCGTTGCTCTTAAGGGAACGGTTGTTATTTGTGCTGAGCATGGGGAGGGGTTCGTGCTGGTGGCTTCTTTCAGGAGCTTGAAGGTCCAATGTCCAATGTCCAGTTTACAGGTGGAGAAAGCTCGTTGGCTTGTAGTTTTGCCTGTTTCTTGATCTATACGGTAAAGTCTGATGTTCGGAATTTTCTGTTTTTAATTCGTTTGTTCTCGTAATCTGAAAGTGTAAGCAAAAAGAAAAGAAACAGATTAGTAGGTTGCTTCTTGTTGTAGCAGGTTAGTTACCTGTTGTCAGTTATCTGAACCGAATTGCGTGCCTTACGAGGTG